CAATTGTCCAAGTACGGGATCAAGGGGAAAAATGTGGAGGGTGCTGAAGAAGATGACAGAGTGTACGAAAAGCGCGGTCATGCTAGACGGAGAACTGTCTAAATTCTTCGACATTGAGCAAGGGGTCCCACAAGGTTGCACGCTGTCCCCAACATTGTTCCAGGTGTTCATCAACGATCTGTTGGAAGTCGTAGAGGCAGTCCGGAAGGGAGTAAAAGTAGGGGACACGGAAACTTCGGTGTCAGGAATGCTGTTTGCGGATGACTTTGTTGGTATGTCGGACACCCCTGAGGGACTGCAACTGCAAATTGACGCGGCGAAGAAGTTTACTGATAAGTGGAGATTGTCTGCCAACGTTACGAAGAGTGCCGTCATGGTATGCAACGAGGGCAGGGAGGAACCAGTAGAACATAGATGGAAGTGGGGGATCGAGGAGATTGCAGTAGTCGACCAGTACACATACCTCGGAGTAGAGATCGCAAAAGATTGCTCGTGGAATGCACACATGTCCAAGGTAGCGGAAAAGGGCAAAGCACGAGCAGGGAAGCTGCACCCAATACTCGCAAACCGGCACCTTGATACACGCATCAAATTGACGGTTTTGAAGAGCGTAATCGTACCACCGCTGGAGTACGCCGGAGAAGTATGGGAAGGAAATAAGAAGGTAGTGAAAGAACTCGAGGCGGCGCAGATGAAAGCAGCGAAAATTATCCTAGGATGCTCCAAGCGCACAAGTAATGCAGCAGTCAGGGCAGAATTGGGGATCCAATCCCTACGGTCGGGAAGAGACGTAAGGAAGCTGACATGGCAGTACCGCATGTGCGGGATGGGAGAGGAGAGGTTGCCGAGAATAGTATGGGAGGCGAAGTGGGCAAACAAAAAGAGGGGTAGACAACCCACGGAATGGGTCAAGGTTGTAGAGGACGTATGGAAGGGATTGGACATCGACGAAGATGAAACGCTGGAAACGGAGGGTCTACAGGGGTTCAAGAAGAAGATATCTGTTGCTTGTGCCGACAGAGAAGAACAGAATCTAAGGAAAGAATCCAAGGATAAGGAGGGTCTAGAAGTGTACGGAATGTTGAAAGAAGGAATAGGGTTCAAGGATTACCTACATGGACCAATGGATGCAGGGACAAAGCTTAAGGTCAAATTCAGGACCGGGGACATAGGCCTTCGCGAACGTCGACGAAGACATAGGACGGTAGACGACGAAGACGACAAGTTCAAATGTCATTGCGGCTTCGAATGCGAAGACAGTGTTCATGTAGTCGCGGAATGTCCGTGGTACGAAAAGGAGAGGGAAGTGTACATGACTGAGTTGGGAAGAATACAAGGGACGTACAGGGAGATGTTTGAGGCATGGAATAGAGAGGAGAGGACGGTAGCGGTACTGGGGAGTAGGAAGTGGTTTGAAAAGGCGGGAAGTGACATCGGTAGGATAGACAGACTAGGGAAGACATTTTTGAGCCACCTTTGGCAAAGTAGGAAGGAACGATTGGCCATCGGTGATCGGTCCTGTGGGAACAATGCTCCGTCCTCTCGAGGACGCGTGGTCAATGGTCTAACCGCTTAAGGCATGCAAAGCATAAGAGTACGCCCCCCCCCACCCCCCACCCCCCGGTGTTTACCATCGGGGTTGGGTTTTCGTCGCTTGGCAACGACGTTGTAAAACAAGCCCCCCGCTCGGTGTTTGCCATCGGGAAGGGGGTTTTCGTCGCTTGGCAATGACGTTGGAAAACAAGCCAATTCACTTCGTGAACTCGGCAACCAGGTTACCGTTTTTTTTTTTTTACGTCGTTTTTTTTTTTTGGCGGTAACCATAATGGTGGTCGAGTAGATCATGTTGTGCGGGGTCGAGAAACCTCACTCCGCGCAACGGGGGATGATCGCACCACGTTGTGTTAATATTGGTCAAGCACCCTTGAGGCAGTTACACAGTGCTTACAACTGTCTCTGGAAGTGAAAGCACCAGAAAATAAATTAAGTCATACGTAGCTGTCATCCGTACGCAAGGAAGTAAGCACAAGATGCCGAACACCCTTAGCAGGATGCAGCTCACCCTTCATGCGACTCGCCAAATACCTCACGGTGCTTCGCGCTTGGTGATGTGGGAGCCTGGTCCGGTGAGAACCCGGCGTGCTCCGTCCCGGCTTTGTAGGGATGCGAGGTCAATGGTGTAATGACTACGGCATGCACGACTATGAGTACACCCCCCCCCCCCCCCTCTCTTGGCAGCAAGACTGATTGTAAAACAAGCCGATTCACTTTCCTGAGCACATCGACAACCAGGTTACCGCTGGTTTTTTTTTGCCTTGTGGTTTTGTTTTGTTGCGGTAACCATGAATGGTGGTCTAAATAGTAGATTATGTTGTGCGGGGTCGAGAACCCTCACTCCGCGCAAAGGGGAAAATTGCACGTTGTGTTAAGTTGGTCGAGCACCCTCGAGGCAGTTACACAGAGCTTACAACTGTCTCTGGAAGTGAAAGCACCAGAAAATAAATTAAGTCATACGCAGCTGTCATCCGTACGCAAGGAAGTAAGCCGAACACCCTTAGCAGGATGCAGCGCACCGTTCATGCGACTCGCCGAATACCTCACGGCGCTTCGCGCTTGGTGATGTGAGAGCCTGGTCCGGTGAGAACCCGGCGTGCTCTGTCCCGGCTTTGTAGGGATGCGAGGTCAATGGTCTAACCGCTAAGGCATGCAAAACATAAGAGTACGCCGGCCCCCCCCCCCCCCCCCCCCCCCCGGGACCAAGCGCGAAGCGCCGTGAGGTTTTCGGCGAGTCGAGAAAACCCCCCCCCCCCCCCCCCAAAAATTTTTCGGGGCCAACCCCGGGGGGGGTTCCGTCCCACCCGGAAAAAGGGAAAACCCCCCCCCCCCCCCTTTCCCCCCCCCTTTGCCCCCCAAAAAAAACCCCCCGGGGCCCAAAGGGGCCGGGGGGACGGCCCCCTCCGGGGGGGCCTTTTCCCCCCAAAAACCCCCCCCCCTTCCCCCCCCCCCCCAGGAGGGGCCCAGGGGGGGGGCCCCTTGCCCCCCCCCCCTCCCCCCCCCGAAACCCCCCCAAAAATGAGGACTAGGGGGGGGGGGGGGGGGGGGGGGAAAACCCCCCCCCGCCCCCCCCCCCAATTTT